GGGGATGGGTCAGGTGAGCAGTTTCTGCCTGGGCTGCACCAGAATTCCAGACTCCCAGCGGGGACATGGGTGTTCTGCCTAAACTAGTGGTACAAACAGCTCAGGGCCAGCAAGGTGGGGTGAGAGGAGCCCCCCAAAATCCCAGTACCCAAATGCCAGTCAAGGGCCAGCTCAGCCAGCGGGCCTCATGATGGCCATCCTCGCCCACGGCATGGACACTTTCTGCACACAGCCATGGGGTTTCCTTTCTGGAGCCGGGGCTGGACACAACACAGCTTCAGGGGAGCCCCCAGGCAACCCCACCTGGGGCAAGTGCTGCTGTCGGATCACTAGCCGTTCCCAGCCCTCCGGCCTGCTTACCCTCAGACGTACGTGTGGTGAGGGTGGCATGGGGCTGCCAGGACAGCTGGGAAGGACAGGGACCTCTTGGCATGGGAGCAGCCCAGGACCACCCATGGGTGGGGACCCTCAGGCAGGGGTCTTTGGTTGTGAACAAGAATGAATTCCAGTCATACTTTTTAGGAAACGAATTTATTGGAAGGGTCTGACCCGTTCCTGTTGTCAGGGAAGACAGAACGAGGCCGAGGCCACAGCTGGGCAGAGGCCGGCCTCACCACTGAGCCGGGCAGCGACAAGAAACCCACACCTGACGTGGGTCTGCCCTCGCTTCTTGCCACACCGGGCCATGGCCTGGGAGGACCCGGCTGGCCTTGCTGGGGTCACTGCCCACCTGTTGCTGGGGAGGCAGGGCTGGGTACTTGGGGAAAAGTCAAGACTTGAAGAAACAGCTGAGCTGCTGCCAGAAGGAGGACTGCATGCTGGGTGGCCAGCTGACCACGGACGCCACGGCAGGCTCAGGAGCAGGGGCTACGCAGCCGTCAAGGGCAAGGAATCCAGGGGTGCAGGTGGCAGCGAGCGCTCAGGCTTTGGATGATCTTAAGGAGATCACTCAGCAGTTGGACTTCTGGGTGGAGGTGGGGCCACAGCAGGCTGGGTGGGAGCACGCGGGGCGGCAGAGGAGGGACACGCAGGAGGCCGGGCGGCAGCAGCTGGGCTGGCAGGAGGAGGCGGGGGCACAGCAGGAGGAGGCGGTGGCACAGCAGGAGGGGACGGGCACGCAGCAGGCAGGCCTGCACACGGGGCGGCAGAGCAGGGACATGGAGGAGGAGGGTCTGCAGCAGGAGGTGTTGCAGCAGGCTGGCTGGCAGCTAGACTGCTGGCAGCATGAAGAGGAGGACTCTGAGCAGACAGGCACACAGCACACGGTCTTGCAGCAGATGGACTTGCAGCAGACAGGCACACAGCAGGCCTGCTGACAGGGGGAGGAGGTACAACAAGCTGGCTGGCAGCTAGACTGCTGGCAGCATGAAGAGGAATCCTCAGAGCAGGTGGGCACACAGCAGACAGGTTTGCAGCAGACAGACTTGTAGCAGATGGGCACACAGCAGGCCTGCTGGCAGGGGGAGGAGGTGCAGCAAGCTGGCTGGCAGCTAGACTGCTGGCAGCATGAGGGCATGCAGGAGCTGGTGCAGTCTGATTGGCAGGGGCTGGGCTCACAGACTGCCTGGCAGGAGGGGCTGGACACACAGCTCACACAGTTAGACTGTTGGCAGCATGAAGAGGAGCCCTCAGAGCAGTTGGGCACGCAGCACACGGGCTTGCAGCATATGGGCACACAGCAGACAGACTTGCAGCAGAAAGGCACAGAGCAGGCCTGCTGGCAGGAGGAGGAGGTACAACAAGCTGGCTGGCAGCCAGACTGCTGGCAGCAGGAGGGCGTGCAGGAGCTGGTGCAGCCCGATTGGCAGGGGCTGGGCTCACAGGCCGCCTGGCAGCAGGGGCTGGACACACAGCTCACTGGGGTGCAGACCAGGGTCAGGCAGGGGGCCGGGGCGCAGCAGCTGGGGGCGCAGCAGGGGGGCTCGCAGCAGCTCTCTGGGCAGTCGTCCACCTGCCAGGAGTCAGAGCAAGAGTCACAGGAGCCGGGCAGGCAGACGCGGCTGCCGTAGCTCAGGTCGCTGGAGCAGACGGACATGGTGGACGCGGCCATGCTGGGGTTGAGCTGGGGCAGATGGGAGTGAGTGGATGAGTGTGTGTGTGTGTGTGTGTGTGAGTGTGTGTTAGGTGCTCTGGGCTGTCGGCTTTTATATCTCTCCCTGGCCTGTTGGTCCAGCAGGAGTGTAAACAGCTCCCGCCCCTTCCTTGTTTCTGCTGAAAACCTAGAGGATGCTTATTAGTGTGACTTTCTTGTTTAGTCCTAGGAGATGCCATTCAGTTTGTAAAGTCCTGAGTCTATATTTGGGTCTGTTGATGCATCCTCACCTAACTTGGCTCCAGAGCATAATACTGAGGTAGACAGGGGGCCTGTGCTGGCTGCAGGAGAGATCTGTCCGTCCTGCTCCCAGCGCCTGTGGGCCATCGCCAGGGACTCTGCTTGTCTGGGTTGCTGTGGCTTCTGGAATTTATCAGGCTAGAAAAGCCCCAGTCATCACTGGCGTGAGGGTGGAATGCTTCTAGAAGTGACTCCCCATACTCCCTCTGGTGCCTGAAGTCCCCACAAGGGCTTTAGAGCAAGTGGCAAATAAGAGAGGATGGAGAGCGGAGTGAGCCCTTTCCCGTCAGGTTCACAGCGGTTCCTGGTGGGCTGTGCACCCCGTCTTCCATCTGGGCACTTAGGGAGGCCGAGGATCCTGTTTGGGGCCTCACATCTCTACTTGATTTTATCCCAAACACTGCAAACCTGTGAGTCTAACCCAGAACTCCCAATACATCTTCTCTGCAGAAAGCACAGCCACTCGCCACAGCACAGCCGTGTGAACGCTGCAAGCATTGCTCTGCGCTGCAGTGTTTTTCCTGATTGCTAAGTGACTAAGTCTTGGTCACCCCAGCTGGACATCTCGCCTAGGTCTCCATTTCTCCTGCAAATAATATCCAATTGGCCACCAGGTCTTTTTGGTTCTTTCTGCTCAATGTTTCTAGTGTTGCCGGATGCTTTTACTTCTCAAGCATTCATTCATTCACGATGCAGCGAATCTTCAATGTGCTGGAAATTGGACCAGGTGCGGAGAAGGCAAAGGTGCAGGAGGGCTAGCCCTGACTGTGGACCCCCACCAGGGAGGTGCTGGGCTGCCTGGTGCCTGCGCTGTCAGTGATGACCGGGCATGGCCCAGCACACAACACAGACTGGCTGATGAGAACGCTGTGAGCAGAGGCTCGTGAGACCCTAACGCTGCACTTCCTGCAGGAGCAATGGTTCCATATTTGGTTATTCGGTGCTGGTAGAGATTGTACAGAACGGAACCTCTGGGAATAATGAGAATGGGCTGTGTGTGCATATACAGAAGAGCCAGGCAGACAGACGGAGAGAGACGGAGAGAAAGAACGGGAGAAAGTAGCTGCTTCCTGAGAAGGGAATTGGGCGACTGCTTGTGTTAACTTAAAAACATCACAAATCTGGCCAGGCGCAATGGCTCAGGCCTGTAATCCTAGAATGTTTGGGAGGTCAACGTGGGTGGATCACTTGAGTGAGGAGTTTGAGACCAGCCTGGCCAACATGGTGAAACCCTGTCTCTACTAAAAATACAAAAATTAGCCAGGCATGGTGGGTTATGCCTGTAATCCCAGCTACTCGGAAGGCTGAGACAGGAGAATTGCTTGAACCAGGAGGCGGAGGCTGTAGTGAGCTGAGATTGTGCCACTGCACTCTAGTCTGGGCAGCAGAGTGAGATTCCATCTAAAAAAAAAAAATCACTAATCTGTAAGTTTGGAAAAAAAAGAGGAGACTTTGTTTCTGGTCAAGGGGCACAGGCTGCAAGAAAGCCATCCCCAGGCTGGGAAGCCCAGCCTCTGCCCAAGACCACAGCCAGGAGGAGGCGCTTCAGGGCTGGAGGGCCTGGGCAGGAGCTCCATGCTGGCCAGGCTAGCTGAACACACATGTGCAACAGCTTATGGAAGAACACTGAGTATTCATGAAGGAGGCACCGAACCAACATGCATGTAACATACGACCTGCTTTCACTCTGGGGTTGTGAGAAACACTCACCCGTCCAAATCCCAAGAATGGACTTAGAGGCATGAAGAACAGCGAGAGTGAGACTTTCATGGTGGTCTTGCAAGATGAGGTGTCTGATGGGCAGGCACAGCCAGCCCGGTTTCAACAAGCCACGTACCCCCAGTGCGCGGTCCCTCCCCAGTCCTCACGGCTGAGTACGGTGGGGTCGCAGACTTCCCGGACGGTCCCTCCCCGGTTCTCACGGCTGAGTACGGTGGGGTCGCAGACTTCCCGGACGGTCCCTCCCCGGTTCTCACGGCTGAGTACGGTGGGGTTGCAGACTTCCCGGACGCCACCTCAGTCTCCTTGTCCTCCTGTAAGGCTACGTCTTGTCCCCTTCCCCACTTCAAGTCTGGATTTTCCAATGGTGACAGTTTCTTTCCTTTTAATGGGTTCGCCACCCCCCTTTCTCCATCCCCTCTGACTTCCATGAGTCTTATCGCTCTTCCCAGATGTATGAGTACGTATGTATGTGTTTACACACACATATGTACATAACAGAACGAGGCGCTGTGTGGCTTTCCTGCCTCAACCCTCACATGGTAAACACGTGTCCTTGCATGTTCTCCTCAGCGCCGTGCGTTCCTCCATGATGCTGCCGTCTTGTTGTTCAGAGTGCCCCAAGTCTGTACTATGTGGCTTGTCATGTCTGCAAGGGAGCTGCCGGGACTTGCCAGGGCCTGTTTTCTGAATATGGACCACTTAAAAAGTACTTCTTGGCCGGGCACAGTGGCTCACGCCTGTAATCACAGCACTTTGGGAGGCTGAGGGGAGATGGAGACCATGCTGGCCAACATGGTAAAACCCTGTCTCTACTAAAAATACAAAAATTAGCTGGGCGTGGCAGCGGGCACCTGTAATCTCAGCTACTCGGGAGGCTGAGGCAGGGGAATTGCTTGACCCTGGGAGACGGAGGTTGCAGTGAGCCAAGATTGCACTACTGCACTGCAGCCTGGGTGACAGAGCAAGCCTCCATCTAAAAAAAAAAAAGTACTTCTTATAGGGTGGAGCCTTCACATGTGAATGTGTCGCAGTGAGGCCCTAAACGTCAGAGGTCTTCTCGGGACACGAAGGCGCTCAAGTGCACAGCCTCTAAACGGGCCAGAGCCGGTCCACAGTGGGAGTCCCTTATCAGGGGGAGGCTCCTGAAGTCAGTCTCCCGCCCAGTCAGAGCTGTGGTCACGGCAGTGGAACGGGGTCTGCGGGTGGATGAGCTGCAGGCGTTTGAATCTTGCTCATCGGGGGGCCAGTGAGTGTGTAGCCGCTGGAGGAAAAGCAGCCGCTGTGGCGGTGGTGAGGGCAGAGTCCGTCCTCTAGGTGTGGGGCACGCGGCTCCACCCTTGCTTGCTGTGCCTGAGGTCCTGTCTGTAATTTGGTATCTTATTGCCACAGTGTGCTCTGTAGGTCTTACGGTCTCTATTTTAACTTTAGTGCTGGGCAGTGGTTGTAGCTAAACCTAAAGGTGGGGGGGCGGGTAGCCAGGCATGTCTGACCGCCCTTCCTGACATGCCAGGAATGCAGTTTTTCAGGGGTCTCCATGGCCAAGACGGGGTCCATTAGGCAGCTAAGGGGCTTAGGATTTTATGTTTAGTTTACAGCGGCGATGGTGTCGCAGTGAGATCAACTTCTCATGGACCCGTTTTGTGTCTTCTGGGCTGGTTCTTTGGATAGATGCCCCTTAATTTTAAGGTGGTGACACCGAGAGGCCTGGCATGGGGCTTGGAAGACAGGGCTGGGAAATGGGCCCAGCAGGAGTTCTGGGCGGGGGCTGACAGGTGCCTCGGAGAAGCAGAGCACAAATGGCAGCCTCCCTGGGAAGGGACGAGGGCTGCTGACCGCCCGCACCCAGCATGGCCACCCCGCGGGTCTGGAACCCAAGACCACAGCCCAGGAGGCGGTCATGCTGCCCAGGCTGGAAGGGGCTGAGTGCGTCCTTCCCCTGGAACACACAGGTCCTGTCGCCTCTGAAACACAAGGACAGGTGGGCACGGAACAGGGCAGGAGGCGCAGAGGCCATGGGCGTGGGAAGTCATCCAGAGCTCAGGGCTGGGAGGTCTGGGTGCAGTTTACAGCTGCCCACACCCCCAATGCCATGGCTCTGGGCAGGTCACTGAAGGCTCCTGCCCCCCAGGTTGTCCCTCATAAGATGGCCACAGTCCTGGGTCCTGCCATGGAGGAAGGACCAGGCTGGATGAGGAGTTTGTACCACAAGAACACTTCCTAAGGCCGGCTTCCTGCACAGGAAGTCTGTGCCCGGGGGCTGCTGGGGCCAGGGCTGCATGATGCCCCAGCCTGCGGCTCTTCCAGACCCCAGAACCCAGTGGGACCAGGCCCACCCCAACTCCTGCCCCCAGAGATCCACATGGGGCAGGACACAGCACAAACGTGATGGGAGGTTTATGGGCTGGGCCAGATCACAGGCAAACGCACAACCCTAATCCTGGCACTGCAGCTCTCAGCGGCACGGAAGGGGACGCTGTGGACTTGGGGACAGCAAGGCTGGAGGGAACAAAAGCCTGAGAGCCTCAGCACCTCATAGGCTCACTCCCTCCCCCACTCACACCTCCCCTACACACCCCTCTCCTACTCACCCCTTCCCTACTCACCCCTCCCCATACACCCCTCCCCTATACACCCCTCCCTGCTCACCCGTCCCCCACCCTGCCCCACTCACCCCTCCTCCACTCACTCCTCCCCCACTCGCCCCTCACCCACTCCCTCACACCTCCACCAGTTCAACTCCAGCATGGCAGTGTGGCCCCCAGGCCCATCTCAGGGAAGCCGCCTCTGGAACCAAGGCCAGGAGTTTTGGGACAATGTGGACCCTGGCAGCAGCTCTGGGCCCCTGAGACACATTCACCCTCCCCAGCTCTGTGGCTGCCCCACAGGACTGCTAGAGCCCCCCCAGGGCCTGGCTCCGCTCAGCAGCCTCACCCCTCTTGCTGCCCCTGGGGAGACCAGCTATGGACACAGTGCCCATCCCTGCAGCCCTGGTCTCCTCCACAATGAGACACGGGACCACGCCCTCCTCCAGGACGCCAGCCCAGCAGCCTCGGGTTGTCACGGGATTCTTGAATACCCATTGCTCAGGCATCACTGGTGAGAGCACAGATGGGCAGAGGCCATGGCACCACTAACCAAGCCTGCCGGCCCTCCTGCCCCATGTGGCCTCACATAGAGATTCAGGGTCCCGGCTCCCTCCTGATCCGGTGGTCTTGGACACTTACCCCGAGGACCCTGTCCGCACACCCCCAGCCTCCCAGGTCTCTCCCAGACAGCCCTCAGCTCTGCCTGGTAAGAGCCGCCACACTCTCCACCAGGTCGCTGTGTGCATTTGAGGGCCCAGCTCCGACTCCTGCCCCAGCAAATGACCCCTGCATGTCAATGCCAGAGGCCGCAAGCCCCAGCACGAGGACCTCCCGGAGTCCCACCCCATGGAGCTCACTGTGCTCAGCACAGCCACCTCCCTCGCTCCCCTTGAGGCAGACCACCCAGGACAGCCAGCAGCGGCCGTCCCCAGGGCCGGGGCCAAACGGACAAAGCCTTGTCCACCTCGTTGGAAGCAAAGCCAGGTCCCCATGAAGGGACAAATGAGGGCCTCCAGGGACAGAGATGTTTGCTTCCTGCCCTGGTTTGCGGGGCGGCTGGTGGGGGCTGAGGCTTCATCCTAGGGCTCCGGCGCCATCCTGGGGAGGGGCTCCCCACACATGCATGTCTGAGCCCCCCTCACTGTGCCCACTGCTGGCCACAGGGTCAGAGCACAGAGCCACATGGAGGGCCCGGGGCTCGCTCTCTGACCTCCTCCACGTTGTCACTGACCCCCACCTGCCCTTGTCCTAGGCACCGACAGGACCCGACCCAGCCTGTCTGGCCATCTCCAGGGAGGACATGTCTCCTTGGGGGGAGGTCTCAGCTCTGACCCCTGCTCTGGGTTCCCATTCGATGTATCTTCTGCCTCACCAGAGCTTCAACTTCCAGTGAAAACACCTTGGAAAACAGTTCCTCAAAATGGTCACTCACTGTGTGACCCTGTGACCCTGCCAGTCCAGTTCTAGCAGATTTGTGGGCCATGTACACAGCAGCACTGACAGTAGCCAAGAAGTGGAAAAATCCCAAATGTCCATCAGAAGATGAATGGACAAGCAAAACACAGCCCATCCACACAACCAAATGTGGCCCATTTCCATGGGGAATATTATTAAGCCATGAAAAGGACAGAAATACTGACACGGGCTACAATGTGCATGACCCTTGAAAGCATGAGGGGCTGCGTGTGGTGGGATTCCATTTGTTTTATTTTTATTTTTATTTCTATAGGTTATTGGGAAACAAGTGGTGTTTAGTTTCATGGGTAACTTATTTAGTGTTGATTTGTGAGATTCTGGTGCACCCATCATCTGAGCAGTATACACTGCACCCACTTTGTACTCTTTTATCCCTCACTCACTTCACACCCTTTCCCCCGAGTCCCCAAAGACCACTGTGTCACTCTTAGACCTTTGCATCCTCATAGCTTAGCTCCCATTTGTGAGCGAGAACTTACAATGTTTGGTTTTCCATTCCTGAGTTACTTCTCTTAGAATAATAGTCTCTGATCTCATCCAGGTCACTTTTAGCATCTTGAAATATAAGTATGTAGAAAAATATGCATTTCTTATAAAATGCAGCTGGCACAGAGGGTATAAGGAATAAAGAGATGAAGAAGTCACCACGCCCATTTGATTAATGAGGCTGCCAGAGACAGCTGTGGGAAAAGTCAAGCGACTTATCATACAGGCCCCAGGGCTTGTCCCAGCAGCCACGTCACCCTTCCCACGTCCCACTGATTCAGGACCACCTCCCTTCCTGTCTCCCACCCACGAAGCACGCACTCTTCAGGGAGCTGTGTGACGGCGCAGAGCCATCTCTGGCCGTGAGGGAAAGGAGTGAGGGCCCCTGGCTGCTGCATTCGCCGCTGGCCAGCTGTCTTCTTTCAAGGTTACTTATCTTCTCAGCATTTCCGCATCTGCCGAACTGGGCTGCAGAGCCGCCCTCACACTGAGCTGATGTGGAGGCCATACCTGTGCTGTGCGTGTCTGTACAGCGGGCCACACCCGCTAACACGATGTCATCCTCGCCTTCTGGCTTTCCTGTCATTTTGTGAAAGCAGCATCAAGTCCTTCAGTCCCAGAAGGTGGGCTAAGCACACAGCTCTTGCACAACCTCTACTAATAATCACTGAAAGAATGTTTAAAGAGTTGTAAAACTGAAATCAAAATTGTCTAACAAACAGTGAGGCTCTTCAAAATCCTTTATATATTTGTGGAAAAGAGAAACAGATGCAAGCAAATTAGGGTGTAAACTGGATCAGGACCCCGGTGCCCTGCAAGAAAATAGGCTTTTATTCAGAAAATCAAATGAACGGCCACCAATGAGCAGAGCTTAACTGATGTCCAGTGAAACGAGGGAAAATGTTTAAATGCTCAGCATAACATCATTTCAGTGAGACAAAAATATATTTCATTCATCATGAGACAAAATCAAAGTCACAAAAGGAAAGACCTCAAGAGATAAAAATTATTTTTAAGAGTGCAAAACACTTCCTGAGTCTTCACGTTGAACGGCTCAATGAATTCTAACCACAGAAAGTAAAATAATGCATAAGCATAGAAACGAAACAAGAATAAAAAGAAAACGAAATGTTCCTGTAGGGTCCAGCCCTACAGCATCCTGTGAACCCCTCTATACAGGTGTGAAGACAAGAAAATGTGGAAATAAAAGACACAAGACACCAAGAAAGAGAAAACAGAGTTTGGGGCCGGAGGTCCACTGCCAACCAAAGCGTGGAGACCTGCAGTGGCCCCGAGTACCTGGACACTCTGACTTTTATCAAGTACAAAGCAGGGGGCAGGGAAGGTAGGATGAGGTAATGGTGGTCAGCGATGGGGTCAGGTAAATCACGTGTCTTGGAGATAGGTGTCCAGGACTTTCAAGTAGCCGAGACGAGGAGAAAACCTAATGTGGCAGCACTTTTCTCATACTTGTCAAGAAAGAACAAAGACATTAAGATTTATGTTACTAATACTGATTTTATCCTTTAAGAAAAAGACGGACCACGTGCAGAAGTGGAACATAAGAGTGGACATGGAACGTGACCACTGAAGCACAGCATCACATAGAGACAGTTAAGCCCCTGGATGTCTGTGGGCCTCCCTGACAGCCATCAGGCCTACTGCAAGAGCTTGGAGAAGCGAATTTTTCTACTAACTTCCCCAAGGAAGGAGACATCTCGGATGTTTTGGATATCTCTTTCCCTAGCTGGCTAAACAGCAGGCACTTTTCCAGTGCTGGCACTGCCACACAGCTGAGGTGCCCTCCCGCAGCCCTTATGTGGGCGTGACAGAGGGCTTAGAGCATCTTGCCTTTGGATCACTTTGTTCACAATGTCACCTCAGTTCCATGCTTCATAAACAGATAATCATTAGTAAAATTAAAAGGTTATATTGAGTAATATACTTTTGCGATTACATATGAATAACTGTGATTATTTATGCTTATATATAGGAATAACTATGTAACTCTATCTCTAATTCTTTTCTAGTTCTGTATTCACATGGGAACAGGCTGAAGCTTCATACCCTTGCCTCAGCACTTGCAGGTTCTCCCATGGGGTCTCCTACCCATGTGTTCCCAGAGAGTTAAAAAAAGGAGAGAGAAAGAGAGACAAATGATAAAAAATGACAAATGACCAGCCTCCGTCTCTCATCAGCTACACTGGACACCACAGAAAATGGTGACATGTGTTCATTTTGAGAAAACATATATTTTTGTTATTATTTATAATAATTCTGCTATAAAACTAGAATTATATACCCAGCTAAACTATCACTTAAGTGTGAGGGTAAAGTTGAGTACATTTTCAGACAAGCAAGAAATCTTAAAATGTATGTCCTAAAATCACCATATATGAAAAAGTACTTGATGTGTCACCATGATGAAATAAAAATGGAGAAAACCCAGAGTGCTGCTTCAAATAAAACAGAGAGGCCTCTGAAGTTAGCATGGAAAAGCTGAGGAGGTAAAGATAAAGCTCAGATCCACCAGATACTGAATCTCTCAGTAGTCTCCCTACAAGGCATGAGGGGCTGAAGGGACGGCCGCTTAGTTTCCACATACCCTCTGTGCCAGCTGCATTTTATAAGAAATTCATATTTTTCTGCATACTTATATTTTAAGATGCTAAAAGTAATAAAATATGTCTAATCAGTCAAAACACAGGATAGGTGAATCTAGAATTCCTCCCTTTGGAGAAGTCTTCATCCCTAAAACCTCTATTCAACAAAAACTTGCTTGAAATATTTTCCACCACATTTCTGGGGCTAAAATAAAAACTGATGAAGAAAGAGAGCCCTGCAACATACACACGAATTTAATGAGGGAAAAACAAACAGATAAACCAGCATGAATGATGCATCTCCAGCCACCAGCTCTAAACACCAACAAGGAAAAGAAGCTTGTGGAGCCTTCTGTCTGGACAACACATGCCAGAGAGGGGTATAAAAGCCCCACAGCCCAGAGCTCCTCATTCACTCACCCACCCACCCACACACTCACACCTCCCCGCCCCAGCTCACATCCTCCACACCCCAGCATGGCCGCGTCCACCATGTCCGTCTGCTCCAGCGCTTGCCCCGACTCCTGGCAGGTGGATGACTGCCCAGAGAGCTGCTGCGAGCCCCCCTGCTGCGTCCCCAGCTGCTGCACCCCGGCCCCCTGCCTGACCCTGGTCTGTACCCCAGTGAGCTGTGTGTCCAGCCCCTGCTGCCAGGCGGCCTGTGAGCCCAGTCCCTGCCAATCAGGCTGCACCAGCTCCTGCACGCCCTCATGCTGCCATCAGTCTAGCTGCCAGCCGGCTTGCTGCACCTCCTCCCCCTGCCAGCAGGCCTGCTGTGTGCCCGTCTGCTGTAAGCCTGCCTGCTGTGTGCCCGTCTGCTGTAAGCCTGTCTGCTGCAAGCCTGTGTGCTGTGTGCCCACCTGCTCTGAGGGCTCCTCTTCATGCTGCCAACAGTCTAGCTGCCAGCCGGCTTGCTGCACCTCCTCCCCCTGCCAGCAGGCCTGCTCTGTGCCCGTCTGCTGCAAGCCTGTGTGCTGCGGGCCCACTTGCTGTGAGTCTTCGTCATGCTGTCAGCAGTCTAGCTGCCAGCCAGCTTGCTGCACCTCCTCCCCGTGCCAGCAGGCCTGCTGTGTGCCCGTCTGCTGCAAGCCTGTCTGCTGTGTGCCTGTTTGCTGCAAGCCTGTGAGCTGTGTGCCTGTCTGCTCTGGGGCTTCCTCTTTGTGCTGCCAGCAGTCTAGCTGCCAGCCGGCTTGCCACACCACCTCCTGCTGCAGACCCTCCTCCTCCGTGTCCCTGCTCTGCCGCCCTGTGTACAGGCCTGCTTGCTGTGTGCCCGTCCCCTCCTGCTGTGCCCCCACCCCCTCCTGCTGTGCCCCCGCCTCCTCCTGCCAGTCCAGCTGCCGCCGCCCGGCCTCCTGCGTGTCCCTCCTCTGCCGTCCCGCGTGCTCCTGCCCAGCCTGCTGAGGACTTGGCTCAAGCTAGGAGTTGACCTGTTGCTGGGCACATCCCCCAGGGCCTGCTGGTCCTGACTCAGGTTAGGAGGTTGCCCGGATCTGGGACAGGTCCCCATGTCTCCACTGTGCTGAGGTGACCACCCTCCTTGCTCTCAGAAGCCCCATCCTCGCTGCTCCCCAGCTGCTGCCTCCCAGCACTTGCACACGTGCCTGCTGGGCCCCCGTCCTCCCTCCCAGCTTCTCTGCCCCAGGTCATTTGGCCTCGACTTGAGCCTGTCAGCACCTCCTCCTGCTCCCAATAAACTCTCCTTGGTCACCTGATTCTTTTCTCCTGTGTGCTTCTGGTCGGGGGACACATGGTTTGAACTGACATCAGTCTCCTCCAGCCATGACTGTTTCCAGGAATGAGTGACTTAACCTAGAAGTCACAGGGGACAGTGGCCTAACTTCTCCAGGGGGTCACCAGGTGGGACTCACGGCCACACCAGGAAGGCTCAGTCCTGGCTCAGCCCCTGTGCCTGGGTCTTCCTGAGCCTTGTCATTTGCTGCCCTGCACTGGGCTGTGGGGCTCTCCAGACCCCAGGACCGTTGCACCCACTGTCCCACCTGGGTGAGCCTACCCTGTAGAGTCAGCTGCTGGGAAGCCGGCCTGGGGTCCCTGCACCACAGCCACCAGGCCTGGTCACCCTCCCTGTGTGCCACCCCCTAAGGTTCTGCCCATTTAGCAGAAACTTGAGGGGAGAGTGAGAGGCGGCTGCACTTGCGTGGGAGATAGGGGGCTCGGTGGGACAAGAGCATCATGGAGGGGTGGAGGAACACACAGGATTCCTGAAACCCGGCACTGCCCCAGGTCCTCCTCTGGGACACCAGGTTCCTCATGGGCTTTTGGTACCCAGGGTCCACACCTGCAGGGTTGTGCATCAGGTCCCTCTGATGTGAGGGTGACATGGGTGACCCTGGAGGGCACAGGTGAACCAAGCCCTGCTAATTCCTGGGGATTTTCTAGGAGGAGGCCTTCCAGGGGCTTCAGTGTGGCCGGAAGTGTTTCAGTAAGTGGGCATTGTCCCCAGAGGGAAAAGGTTGATGTTCAGTTCCCCTTCCTGCCAGCCCATCTCAGGCATGGCTGTTCCCTCACAAGCTCCTCTCTCATCCCAGAGGCCCATGCCCATGGCCAGAGCCCACAAAGGAAGCTCCTGCCACCTGTGAGGCCTCAGCTTCCATCCCCTAATCCCTAGCAGCCTCGCCAATGCTGCGTCTCCCCCACCCTCACCACAGTTTTCTGGAAAAGTTTGGGTTAAACTGGTATTATTTCTTCCCTAAATGCTTGGTAGAATTCAATAGCAAAGGCATTTTGGATTGGCATTTTCTCTGTGGCAAAGGTTTTAATTATGAATCCAATCTCTTCAATCGAAGAGATGAGCTATCTGTTTCTTCTTGTATCCTTTTTTATAAGTTATATATTTCTAATCATTTGACTATTTCATCTAAGTTGTTGAATATATTGACATAGAGTTGTTTACATTATTTATTTGGTCTCCTTTTAATATCTATAGATTCTGTAGTGGTAATCTTTTATTCATTTCTGATGCATTAGTGTGTTTTCATGCTGCTAACAAAGACATACCCAAGACTGGGCAATTTACAAAAGAAAGAGGTTTAATGGACTCACAGTTCCACATGGCTGGGGAGGCCTCACAATCATGGCAGAAGGTGAAAGGCACATCTCACATGGCAGCAGGCAAGAGAAGAGCTTGTGCAGGGAAGCTCCCCTTCTCAAAACCATCAGATCTCATGAGACATATTCACTATCACGAAAACAGCATGGGAAAGACCCGCCCCCATGATTCAGTTACCTCCCACCAGGTCCCTCCCACAGCACGTGGAAATTCAAGATGAGAATTCAAGACACAGCCAAACCACAATAACTGGTATTGGTAATTTATATGTTCTCTTGTTTTATAATAGTAAAGCTAGAAATTTGCCAATTTCATTGATTTATTAAAAACACTAGGTTTGGTTTATTTCCGTTTGTCCGCTTTGTATTTGGTAGGTGAAATGGTGGATGTGTGTCCCCTCCAAATCTCATGTTCAAAGGTGATCCCGTGTTGGAGGTGCGGCCTTGAGGGGGTGATTGGGTCATGGGAACAGTGGTTCCCTCATGAGTGGCGTGGTGCCCTCCCCACAGTAATAAGTGAAGTCTCATTCTGTTTCTTCATGGAGAGCTGGTTGTTTACAAGAGCCTGGCACTCCCTCCTCTCTGTCTCTCTTGCTCCCTTTATACCATGTGGTAAGTGCTCCCCACCCACCTTCCACCATGAGTAAAGCTTCGTGAGGCCTCAGGAGAAGCCAAGCAGCTGCCATGCTTGTACAGCTGCAGAACCGGGAGCCTTTCCTTGGAAAGTGCCCAGTCTCAGGTATTCCCTTACAGCAGTGCAAAATGGATGAACACAGTCGAGTTTTTAAGTTCTTGATTATTTTATTCTTTCTAGTTATTTTTGGGTTCAACATATGCTTCTTCAGCTTCTTAAGACGGAAGCTTAGATAATTGATTTTAGGCCTTCTTCTCTAGTAAAGCAAATTACTATACATTTTCCTCTACATGCTTTGTTAGTTGCATCCCACAAATACTGATATGTGGTGATTTCATTTTCATTTTATTCAAGATATTTCATAACTTCCACTGTGATTTATACTTTTACTCATAGATCTTAAAGTGTGCTGTTTAATGTCAAGTATATGACAGTTTTCTAAATGTCTTTCTGTTAATGATTTCCAATTCTGTGTGGTCAAGCAGCACACTCAGCCCTCCTGTCATTTCAGCTCTCCTAGGATGCTGAGACTTGCTCTCAGGCCTCTTCAGTGGTTTATGTTGGTACATGTTCTGTGTGCACTTTAAACAATATGGATCTTGCGGTTGTTGGATGGTATATTGTATAAACATTCATTAAGTCAGCTTGGTTTATAATGGTTTCTCAACTTTTCTATACACCTCATAGAAAACTACTTTCTGAAGAGTAAGTTTTGGTAAAGACACAAAGGACCTCAACCAGGAGTGACCTCAGCTCATGTGATGGGGAACAGCACTGTAGTTTAATGAAAGCTCTTCCACAGAATCTCCCTTCTCTGGAGTTATTTTTAACTCTCTGGTTCCGTGGGTTGCAATCAACACACTGAGTTGTGTTGCTGAAAACCATGGGCACGTTCACCCATGAGGGGCACACCCTCATCCTCTCTGGGCCATATGTGTGTTTATTCAACCCTGAGCTGCATGCTCTCACCCACCCTGGAACATTTGTGTGTGTGTTCACCTGTGAGCTGCACACCCTCACCCACCCTGGGACATCAGTGTGTGTGTTCACCCATGAGGGGCACATCCTCACCCACCGTGGGGACATCTGTGTGTTTATTCACTTGTGAGCTGCATGCCCTCACACACCCTAGGACATCCGTGTGTGTGTTCACTCGTGAGGCGCGCCCTCCCTTTCACCCTGGAACTGTGACTTTGTGTGGCCGGTGCTCTGGGTCTGTCCTCCACAACTCCACCTCCGCTGCAGCTGAGTTCCTGGGCCACTCTCTGACAGCTGTGCAGGGAAATTCTTTCTGATCTTATCACCATTGCTTTATGAATATGTGTTATAATCATAGGAATAGTTAGCACTTCCTCCAGTGGTTACAACACATCATTATTCCAAATACAATTTTTAAAGATTTCTTAAAATGCCCAAGAGTCCTCAGACTGTCCAGCTCTGGCCAGTCCACTGGCCCCGTGTGGTTATAATGTGCTCTGTGTGTCATTCTTGCCACTCCATTTGGAAAACCGAAAGAGCAAGTCCTACTTCTTGGACCTTAGAGAGGCCAGAGGGGTTGAGGATACGATTTTGCTCGCACAGGGCAGAAGTAACAGCAATCTGATTCCAATCACCAGCCTGTGTCTTCCCCCACCATTCCAATTGCCACCTTCGCCCACCCTGGGACATCTGTGCTTTCCTTTTTTTTTTTTTTTTTTTGTGGAATTCACCATAAAGAGGACAGAAAGAAATCTGTTTGCATCGTCTCAGCCCCTAGATTTTTTCACTTTCTTTTGCACGTTAAGGCTTTCTTCTTGGCACCAGAAAAAAAGAAAACACTAGCAAATGTCTAATTAAACCGAAGCATTTTATGGTTGCCAGTACAATTTGAATCTTCTTGCTGTAGTTCATAAGTAATTTTCACTAAAAGTATTATGTTTTTAAAAAGATGTGTCTTGAAAATGGAAAACATTTTTGCAATATGTAAAAATTTACTTAGAAAAGTACTAAGTAAAATTATTTTACTTAGAAAACTACTAAGTAAAAGTACTAAGTAAAATTATTATTTTTTTGCAACGTAAATTCTTGATTATGTTATTTTTTTTTTCTAAAAAGAAAAAGGAAGAAAGAAAGAAAAAAAAAGAATGAAGGAGAGGAAGAAAGAGGAAGAGGAAGAGGGAGAGAGAGTGGGGGTGTTGCTTTATTGCCCGGGCTAGAATGTGTTCCTTCACCTGACGATTCAATCGCCAGCCTGCTTTCCTCCCCCCATTCCAATCTTCAGCCTTCCTCCTCCGCCCCCATTCCAATCTTCAGCCTGCATTCCTCCCCCATTCCAATCCCCAGCCTGTGTTCTCCCACCCCCTCATTCCAAGCTCCAGCCTGTGTTCCTCCCACCCATTTCCATTGCCAGCCTGCATCCCCCACCCCACATTCTAAGCTCCAGCCTGTGTTCCTCCCACCACGCCAGTATGTAGAAGCATTGTGGGTGATGTAGATGAAGACTGATTGTGAAGCTAAGAGGGCATTTGGACATGCTCTGGGCAAGCATGGCGCTAGAAGACACCATTCTTGATTTGACAGGTATTGGGCAGAAGAAGGAGAACTTAAAAAGCAAATCAGCGAAAAGAACTATTACGCAACTAATGACACAGAAGGGTTAGGGACAAACCCCAGGGCCCGAAGTGTCCAAAGGGCTGCAAGGCTCCTCCGCCCGAGTCCATCCAGCCTGGACCCCTGGGAGCCACACACCCGTGGGCACAGGAAAACACTCAGGAGCCTGAAGGACAGCAGAGGGCTGTGTACAAAGGAGAAAAGGTACATGGACCTCACGGCCATGAGGTCCAGCCAAGGCGTCCCATCAACACAGCAGGCAGCCAGCACCATTGCAGTCTCAGGGCTTTTATTGGTCAGTTTGAGGGCGCCCGAAGAAGGTTCTGGGGCTCTGAGTCAGGGGAACAGAGACCTCATGGATCAAGGCTGAGCTGACCCTCACGAGAGGTGGGAGATAAGGAGGGGAGGCCACTGTCATGGGAACTTTCTAGAACCACCCCCATCAAGAGGGCTGCAGCACTGAGTATAGACATTCAGTTCTTCCACTGTCCAGCTCAGTAGCAGACACTGGGAAATGGTCAAAGTACAGGAGCAATTCAGGACGTGACTATCAGCTTTTAGGGGGGACCTAAGCCTGGCTGGCCCTGGGGGACATGCCCATCAGCTCCTGGGCTTCTGGCCTGAGCGGAGGCCTCAGCAGGCCAGGCGGGAGCACGCAGGGCGGCAGAGGAGGGACACGCAGGAGGCTGGACGGCAGCAGCTGGGCTGGCAGGAGGAGGCAGGGGCACAGCAGGAGGGGACAGGCACGGAGCAGGCAGGCCTGCACACAGGACGGCAGAGCAGGGACACGGAAGAGGAGGGTCTGCAGCAGGAGGAGGTGCAGCAAGCCGGCTGGCAGCTAGACTGCTGGCAACACAGAGAGGAAGCCCCAGAGCAGATGGGCACGCAGCAGATGGGCTTGCAGCAGATGGGCTTGCAGCAGATGGGCACACAGCAGGACTGCTGGCAGGGGGAGGTGGTGCAGCAGGCTGGCTGGCAGCTAGACTGCTGGCAGCATGAAGAGGAGCCCTCAGAGCAGGTGGGCACACAGCACACAGGCTTGCAGCAGACAGGCTTACAACAGACAGGCTTACAGCAGATGGGCACGCAGCAGGCCTGCTGGCAGGGGGAGGAGGTGCAGCAAGCCGGCTGGCAGCTAGACTGCTGGCAGCATGAAGAGGAGCCCTCAGAACAGGTGGGCACACAGCAGACAGACTTGCAGCAGACGGGCACACAGCAGGCCTGCTGGCAGGGGGAGGAGGTGCAGCAAGCCGGCTGGCAGCTAAACTGCTGGCAGCACGAGGGCATGCAGGAGCTGGTGCAGCCCGATTGGCAGGGGCTGGGCTCACAGGCTGCCTGGCAGCAGGGGCTGGACACACAGCTCACTGGGGTGCAGACCAGGGTCAGGCAGGGGGCCGGGGCGCAGCAGCTGGGGGCGCAGCAGGGGGGCTCGCAGCAGCTCTCTGGGCAGTCGTCCACCTGCCAGGAGGAATCAGTGCAAGAGTCACAGGAGCCGGGCAGGCAGACGCGGCTGCCATAGCTCAGGTCGCTGGAGCAGACGGACATGGTGGATGTGGCTGTGCTGGGGTTGAGCTGGGGGAGATGGGAGTGAGTGGGTGAGGGAGTGAGTGAGGTGCTCGGGTGTGTGGGGTTTTATACTCCTCCCTGGGGTGTGTTGTCTGGACAGGAGGCTCAGAAGCCCTCTCTTCCTTGTTGGGGTGCACAGCCAGCTCCGGGAGGATAAACAGTAGTTGTGTTTTTGTTTCCCAAGCATTGTTGCTCAGTTTACAAAACTCTTGGAACTGGCCTGGGGCATATGTGTGTGTTTCAGACTCAGGAGGAAGAGCTGGGGTGCAGTTCAGGCTGTGTCGCCTGCTCCCCAGGCTCACGTGGAGAGTGGCGCAGTCTGACTGCGCTGGGCTCTGGGGAGCAGGTGCCTGCGCCGGCTCTGCGGGGCCCTGGGTTTCTAGGCTGCTGAGCAAGATCACGTGCCTCTATGATTCCAAGGTTAGGGAGAGGTTCGTTTGGGTTCTAAATCATGATGATGTGAGTTGTGATTTTTATTCAGTAATGTTTCTTCCCTTGGGCTTCCGTGACAAACAGTACCACACACTGGCTGGTTACACGATAGAAACTCCACGTCTCAGAGATCGGGGTGTGGGCAAGGTGGGTTCCTTCTGAGGCTGCGAGGGCCGCTCTCACATACTGCTCCCCTCACTGCCGCGGGCTGCTGCTATCTTTGGGGTGCTTGGCTTTCAGTGGCCTCACCTGAGCTCTGCCTTTATCTTCACACAGCTTCTCAGTGTGTGTGTGTGTGTGTCCAAATCTCCCCTTTTTATAAGGACACCAAACATATTACAGTAGGGTCCATGCTAATAGCCTCCTCTTAACGTGAGGACATACAAAGACCCTATTTCCTTATAGGATCAGTCACATGTACTTTGGCACCTTTTGAGGAGCACAATTCAACCCACAGCTAGCAGACACGGGGGCAGAGCCCGGGACGGGAAGGCCGACATGGTACAGAACCCGGCATGAGGAGGTGGGAGTAGCAGGCATCCTCCTCGCCGACTGGGACCTGGGGCAGGTGGAGCATGGGGCACAGAGGGCAGCACAGGATGGCAGGTGCCCCACACTGGGCATTCAGCAGCCTTTGCTTGTGAGGCGCAGCTTGAGCTTGTGGGATGGTTTTAGGGAATAGTGGCTGAAAAGCAGAGTCCACATCGCCCTTTACCAGCTTCCTGACACCACCGCAGGTCGGTTCTCAGCGCTGAGAACTCGGCCCTAGTTTGTTTCTTCTCACCCAGGACAGGCTTCAGGCCGGCGCACCAGCTTGCCGCGGGCTCCATTCAGGACCCTGCACGGCGTTGCCTGAAAGGTCCCCTCAGGATGCTCGGGTTTGTGACAGTCGCCCAGTCTCTCCTTGGCCTCAGCGACCTCGACTGGCTGGGTGCTTTGTAGAATGCTTGCCTGAGGTTTCCTCGTCGTCAGACCAGGCATCGTGTCAGGGGAGGAATCCCACAGGAGCAGCGCAGGGGGCACGGAGGTGACGGCCACATCCCATCCCCGGCGGGGCCGCCGTGTCCCTCTGTAATTGGTCATGTCTGAGACCTGGCAGCTGTTCTGTGTTTGCCCAGTGGTGTGGGTGCCCTCGGGGGCCTGGCCTGTGCAGTCCCTGTGGGGCTCTATTGAGGATTCTCCTCCCTGCCCCTGTTCCTTCCACGCTTACTAATTGACATTGTCCCGGGAGGAGGAGCTGTCTTGCTCTTCTGTGTGTCTGTTTGCCTCCTTGTGCATTTATCTCAGTGTAGACTGAAGAATATTTATGACGTGAGCTATAATCCAGTATGGTCACTGTGTATTTTGTGTTGGCAGTGGTTCCAATGTCAGCCATCAAGCGCCTTCATTTTGGCCCTGGTGCCCTTTCAATATGCTGTCCCTTCCTGACTTTTCTTACTTTGGGGTCCAAGTTCATCTCATAGTTGCCCAGTTTCATCCCTGGAATCAGACGCTTCTTCTGGAAGCCCTGCTCCCTCTTGGTGGATGAAGGTGTTTGGTGTGTTCACGCTTGTGGGGTGTTGCTTCCCCAGCCTCCCAGGGAACAGCAAGCAGGCCAGCATGTGCACTAACGCCCACCGGGTCTCAGAGGGAGGGCTTTCCCTGCTAAGAATTGTGTTAGCGCTACTTTCTCCAGACTAGTATTATCTGGTTTGATAATGGCTCATGCCTGTCATTCCAGCGCTTTGGGAGGCCAAGGGAGGAGGATCATTTGAGGCCAGGAGTTCGAGATGAGCTTGGGCAGCATAGCCAGACCCCACCTCTACAATGTATTGCCCTTTCTATATGTTGCTGGATTCTATTTGCTAATATCACACTGAGGAATTTTGTGTCTACATTTATGGAGGTGACTGGCCTGTAGTTTTCTCTTACTGTAATGCCTTTCTGGTTTGGTAACATTGCCTTCAGAAAAGAGTGGGTGTGTTTTCTCCTCTTCTGTCTTCTGAAAGAGGCGGTATAGGGCTGACATTTTTTCTTAAGGGAGCGCTAGGATTTCCCAGGAAACGGTAGTTTTTGTGTGTTGGAAGGTGTCCTTTGTTAGATGTTGGACCTGCCAGTTATCTTTTCTTCTTTCATGAGATCCGGCACTTGCGCCTCTCAAGGAACTGGTCCACATTATCTGAGGTTTTGAATACATACACGGAATTCCATTTCTGGAATTCCCTTATCAGCCTTTAACTTCTGACAGTTGTTCAGCAATAGCCCCTTTTGTTCTCTGTGCTGGTGATTTGTTTGCTCCCTGCCCTTTTCTTCTCGGCCAGTCTTAACCAACGTGTATCAGTTGGATTGATCTCAAAGAACCGGCTTGGGTTTAATCAATTTCCTCTATTTTCCTTTTGTTTTCAAGTGCATGGATTCGGCCCCGTCCTTCCCTTTGCTTGCTGTGGGTTCCTTTCCCCCGTCTTTCTCTAGTTTCTCAGGGCAGAGCTCCTGGGTTGATTCAGTTCCTTTCTTCTTTTCAAAGCAGCACTGGGCTCCTCCTTCTCCATCCTGGTGGCTGAGCCCCACCTGTCCCCGAGGCTGTGAATGAGCTGGTCTCTGCTGCCCCTTCTTTAATTCCATAACTCCTGGTTTCTGCACCATGCCTCACAGATGATGCAGTCAAGGAGGTGCCCCCTACAAGGTGGCTATGGGGGCGGGTCAGCCTCCAGAGGCCCCCACCCAGCATTGCTGAGGCTGTGTCGGGGACTCATCCGCCCTTGGGTTTCCATCCCAGGAGGCTGAGAGACACACAGGAAAGCTGGCTAGATCGCAGGTGTCAGGTCGGGGAGCCAGGAAGAGGCTATCTTAATGACACACTGGAGGAAATGCTCTTGCTGGGATGGGCAGAATTCTGCTTCCGGATTACCAAAGCCCAGCGAGCGATGGGCTGTCCATCCCTGGGATTGGCAGGGCAGAGGCTCATCCTGAGTGCTAGCCAGGGCACCTTCCAGATGGTGGCCCCCACGTTTCCTCAGTGAGGGGTGGGCCCTGGTTGTACTCATGCTAAACCCCCAAGGTGAGCCCAGCACTAGGAGGTGCCATGAAGCAGTGTCTCTCTGAGACTGAGGGCAGGGGCAGTGAGGGTGCAGGGGTTTACTTAGGGACCCACTCTTTCCAGGGCGCCCAGGACACAACGCCACAGAATGGGGGGTCTCATCCCCCACCCCCGCCAGCCTGAGGCTTGGGACGACATCAGAACCCTGAGGCACAGAATGCCCCCACACCAAGATGCCAGAATCCTCCCAGAGTCAGCCTGGGACCCCCCAGACACACACAGCGGCCTCCATTGGGGGTGCTTACTGCACACAGACTCTCTATACAGTGTCCACCGTTGCTGTCCCTGTGTCATGGCATGTTCTATGGCACAGGGTCTTTCCAAGAAGTGACAAAGCCTCCTCACACTCTACCTTTCGTTACTATTGAATTGCATAAATAATAATAATATACAATCTCCTGTCTTCTTTTCTAAAGCAGGCCACCCTCTCTTCACAGTGCTCCCCCATCTGCAGGTCCCCACACTCTCTGGTGCTGTGTGTCATCCCCCCAACCTGGGCCCTGCATGTCTTTTCCATCCTTGGCCCACGGTGGGTCCTGTCACATCTTCCTGCTCTATGCCTGGGCCACACCCACGCAGCACTGACGCTCACGATGCATCCAGCTGCCAGGATTGCTGGCTGTTCCTGCACTGCATGTCTGGGTCACCTCCGGTTTTTCTAACAGAGAAGCGCTGTCCACACCCTCACATGCGCCTGTGCCGTTGACACCCTTGCGTGCACGTATGCAGACAGGGATGCTTCTCTGGGGTAGGCTCTTCTGCAGACCTGCTCCGCCCCAGGTGCTCACACTCTCTGGCGGACGTCAAGGACCCACGTGTCACTGCAGTGGTGGCACTGCATGCACATGGTGGTGTGAGGAAGGGCCGCCTTCTCCTGGCCTGGAGTGGAGTCCTGCTCTCCAGCTGCTCACTGGGGTCCCATCATGCACAGGTGGGCTGGGGAGGAAGGCCTCTGCTTGAGATCTTTGACCAAGGCCTTTCAAAGGCCTTCTCAGGGAATCCATGACACCCCCAGGCAATGGCGGCCAGGACAGGCATGTGGGGGAAGATGAGCATAGAGGACTGATGCCACAGTGGACTGACCCCAACACCTCCAGGCCAGGCGGAGGCAGGAGGCCCCTCAACAACACCAAGGGAGACAGCTCCAGAAACCTGCTTCATTCAGCCACGCCCCGCATTTACCCAGGCTGGGGCCAGCTGCAGTGGCCTAGCCAAGGAGGGTCCAGGCCTCAGCCTCAGGCTGTGCTCACAGCCACTCAGCCCGGGCCAGGGACCTGGCCTGGACCCTCTGCCAGCCCGGAAGGCCCTCCCCGCTCCCTAGTTTCCTCCCTGCCGTCCAGCCTCAGAGGAGCCAGGCCAGCCCATCAGTTATGTACCCACCGACTTTGAACTGTGAATCCGAGGTTCCCCAGGAGCTTATCCACTACCCCTGCATGCCCGGATGGGGACAAGGGGAAGGCACTGCCAGCTCCACGGTGGCTCCAGCCTCCCACAACGCCCAAGGGCAGCCAAGGGAGG